AAGCCCTCGACGCCAGTCCACACGATGTAGCTGACCGAAGCGTCGCTCGTGAGGCATGTCGAAGAGCCTTCCAAATTCCAAGGGTTATCATGGTTCGTCAAAGCGTTCTCTCAGTCTTCCGTCATGTTTGTCGGTGTGGTCATGGCGCAGGATCTCACGGAATCAGATCATGTCACAGAAGCTTCGAGCCTCGACCCATCATCCAGCACCAGTCGCTTCGCCATGCGAGCAGGATCCTCGATGATGGCCGAAAGGAGTCCATGAGTTTCCTATTGTTCCCGAGCGGTTGCTTCGTTTTTCTGTTTTGACGCCGACGAAGAATAGGCTCGGGTCGCTCTGGACTCGGCATTGCCAAGAGGGAGGAGGGATGAGGACCTGTGGAGGCAGGACCACGCACCAGTCGAGGGGATCTGCGAAAGTGGCACGGGGTTCTTGGGCATCTTTGTGTCACTGCAGCCTGCTTCTTCTCGCCAGCCGTTGTTCCAGTATGAATCCGATGCGCTTTCCGAATTTCAGTGTACACGGCAGGTGCGGCGGCGAACCGCACTTTTGCCGCCCCCGGTATGCTGTTGGAAATGAACTGAACCAGGAATGTGACGCAGGCCTGCGGCTGAGCATGGCCAAGCCTAAGCGGGATGCAGTTTCCTGCTGGCCGTGCAGAATTGCAGCTATAGTACAGTACCGGCGTTAAGCAGTTGGTTTGGTTCGTTTGTAGCTTTTGCTCATCTAAGAGCTACGCCGATAATCCGATTTATATATCGGGACAATGAACAAACCTCGCCAGTGTTGCAAAGGTTCGAGCATCGATCATCTTCTGTTGTAGGTGGCGGATAGGGGATTCCCCACCTGTTTGATTTTGTGCCATGCGAGTTCATGGCGCAGAGGTGAGGACATCCACTGCAGCGTTCCGGCATGGAAGGTGTCACAGAGAGGAAAGCGCATGAAGTCCGCAGCTCCATGCCCCGATTGGAATCGCAAGCCCTGCCGCAAGACCAAACTACAGGGCGGGTTTCTGGAATACCACCTTGCAGGGGGTACCTCCATGACAAGGTGTGGTTCTCTTGTTCATGTGCCCTTTGGGCCTCGACTCTACATGCATCGAGTCACTTCTGCGGCGAATTGCACATCGAGCCAAATATGGACGGGAAGATGTCCGAAAGGAGGCCATTATATCCGTGAGAACACCACCGCGCAATCCACTCGGCCCAGCAGCCCCTAATCGTCACCACCTCTGTTCCCGGACGTACTGCACTTGTTGCCCGCCTGCTTGTCTGCTGTGTATGTGGTGAGGATACGAACTTCGTGGTGCTGTGGTCGTGGACGTGTGGACGTGGTTTCCGGCTTCTGGCTCAACTTCAGGATTTGTTTCTTGGGAAGGGGGGTGAAGCTGCAACACCGTCGCTCCAAGCACAACTGCTCAAGGCATTCGAGCTCGCGATCTTAGGACGATTTGCTCTCCCAGGCGATGTTCATGCAGAATACCTCTCAGCATCCACCGACAATACCCAACCACAAGATTCAAAACTACCATGCTTGAACATCCATGCAATGTAGACAAACATAAACATCATGTTTAAGTATTTCATAATGCATGACCCCCACCTCCGCTTTGCAGGTGCAGTTAAACAATCAACGAATGACATTCTCAGTCTTCTTTTTGATCGCAACGGTTAAGATTTTGCACTCGCCCTGGCGACAAAAGGATTCCTTGCACAAGGTGAAGCAGCGGAAAACTCTCTCCGTCGTCCATGCAGATTTGAACATACGTTAGTCATCCTTTTGCTTGCAGCAGAGCACGCAGGGGTAGTGCCGGGGGCTCCTCCATGCTGCGTGCAACGTCTTCGTGCTCCATCTGACACATTTGAAAGGGGACAAAACATAAAACCACGCCAAGAATCGCAGAACAGCTCGTTCCAATCATCATAGTTAGCTGTATCAGCCTGGGTCGGCAAAAAGGCAGCAAAAAGCCTGAATGTCCGCAAGTGCCCACTGTCAGTTTTGAACCTGAAAGCCTCGCACTTCATGACCTCCTCAGGGCGCCGCTGGCAGAAATCTGTGAAGCTCCTCCTTAAGCACCTTGCAAGACAACCCCAAGGAGAATTGTCTCAGCTTGCTACCACACGCTTGTGCGATTCTGTACAGCCAGCGCTCGATCGGTTCCACAGCCGTGCCACCTTCTTGTCTCGCTGGTTCTTGGGGTCAACATCAACTTTGACGTACCATTCCTCATCAGTCGTCAAGATGCTGAACATCTTCACGCAAAGACCACAGTATGACTTAGGCTAGTGTGTCGGTGAGGCCTCGAAAACCACATTGTAGATAGGCCTCGTGATTTTGGCCAGAAAAAGAGCACCTTGTTGACGGCAGCACCAGAAGTAGTGCATGTCGACACACGATCAATCATTCAATTCGAGTGCATCTGCCGCTTAGGTGCTCTTGACGGTGCCGCTGCCGGTCTCGTAGGCAGAGCCTGGTTATGTTGTGGATCACTTCCAGTCTGACAAGGGCCAGCTCTGCCATCTCTCAGGGACCTCACTGTTCAGTCCTCTTCTTTACGCAAACGTGCCTCCAGTGAGAATGTCCTCGGAAGCCAGCGCCAGCTCCGTGAGGAAATAGATAAGCTCAGGCCTTGGTGAAGACAACCAGTCGAGCAAAGAAGATAGCTATTCATACCTGCATCGGCATCCAAGGCCAAAGCATAAATCGAATGTTGCCTGCCTCGCCCCAAACCTGGCATTGGGAGAGCTTGGAATTATGGAAGCAGCAGTCTTGCGGTTTCTTGAGACGTGCGCTTTGACACGCACGTGAGCCCGCCTTGTCCATGTCCTTAAGCTGTAGGTAACAGGGAGGGAGCAGTTTGAACCGTGAGAGGCAGGGCAAGGACAACAAAAACGGTCTGCTCTTCACCACCCACCTCCCATCCACCTGCACCGAGTCGTGCGAAACTTCAACCCGATCTACTCCCCCTCCCCCCCTCAGAAAAAAGGTCAACTTACGGCTCCCTCGCCCGGCCTATTGATACTATCAGCATGATTTCGTGTTTTCAGTTCTACTCCCCGAGAAGAATCGAAAACGTACATTTCTGCTCTTGCTTGTTGCCAGAGCTTCGGCGAAGGATTATCCGCTGCTTCAATCAGGGATTGGAAGGAAGGCAAGAAGGAAGGAAGCAGCATCCGACGGCCTCCGCCAGGATTTCAGGCGCCCCTTCGGTTCCGACAAACGATGGAAGAAGTAGCCGAACGTCTTCGATTTGGGATCCTTCTTCCCTTCTTTTCTTCCTTCCTCCCTCCCTTCCTGCCTTCCTTCCGTTCTTCATTCCTTCCTTCCCTCCTTCCTTTCTCCCCCCCCCCCACCTGCAAAAGAAACACTCACCACACCTGTCAAATCCAGTTGCGGCGAAGCCCTGCAACTGGCCCCAACATGCAGCTGTTCGTCTGGCAGCTCCTGCCGTGTCGTGCATGCCATGCAACACAATCGCAGCACAATGACATACAAGCCGCAAGACCAGCTGAATTTGAAACATGGCAGCTGGTGCCAGCAGGTAAACACCAATTTCCACCTGAGGTATGAGGGATGTGCGCACATTGCAGAGGCACGGCGCTTCTGCGAAGTGTTGGACAATCTTCCATGGTTGAAACTTGAAACCAAGGCACTAGTTGCTTGGACGAGGCCGCGTCTGCATGTGCAAGAATGCCTCGATGTTGGCCTCGATGCAACTACATCTTCGCTCGTCCTCCCGGCCACGATTTACCGTGACGAGGCAATATCTGGGGCATCTCGCGTTCGCCTGTCGGAAAAACCTGCCAATCTCTCACTTGCAAGTTGGATTTTGCACCTGCCGCTAACCGGCGGCGCCTCGATGTCAGAGCACCCTTGCAACCTCGGTCGCACTAGAGTTTACAGTATGAGGCGTCTCTTTGACTGAGAGGGCCTCTCCGACCACTCTCGAAGGCCCTCGAGGAGGTCCTGGTGCAAGTCGTGGAGCGCCTCCTGACAAGAGCTTGCACCTAGAGCAGCTAGACTCAGCTAGACTTTAGAATCAGGAACAGCGACACAGGCGCCGGTGGCCGTGGGGCATGTGTGGCAGGGACGCTGCGAAAGCCTATGCTCGCGTAGCGCGAACGTGTGGCAAGGTCACCTTGAGGAGGTCCGGCTCCATTTCTGTGGCCGCACGGTGCAGCGCCTGCAGGGCCCGCTCTCCGGCAGCAACGCTCTGCTTTGTTGCTTCGGGTTCTGATGCTACGGTGTCCACCCTGCGCACGAACCACTTTTGGATCACAGCCTCTTGGCTGAGTCAAAACTGCCTGCAGATAATCGTCCTGGCACCCTGTTGGTGCCGAATAACCAGAAGCAGGCGGAATCGAGCTGAATTCTGAAGCTTGCTGAGTGCCTCTTGCAGGTGTGGGGCTATTCAAGGCCCTTGCAGGCAAGTGCAAACTCAATCTTGGTACAGCAAACTGTCTGCTTTGCAGCTTGCTTGAAACGGAACCAATCGCTCTCCGAGCGGACTGGGAAGAGGTCCAATGTGAAATCCTGAACCAAAGACCTGCCCCCATACCTCACGCATGGGGGCCGGGTATCCCGAGCATGAACAACAATCATTCGAAACCGAATGCTCAACTTCAGGATCCACCTGTACAGGAGTCGCGATCGTCGCAAGATCTCCTGGCTCTTTGTCGACTCTGGGGAAATCCCCAAGCCATGTGCTGTACAACATCTGTGGGCAAGAGATCATACATGGGCTAACAACAAAAGAACCCAGGCAGCCTTCTGTCTGGATTTTGCTCGGCTAGTGCTTGGCTAGTCATCTTGGCAGATCTGAATTGCAACACCAGGACAGGCTGTACAAGGCAGCGAACCCCCTGTCGAGAGGCGCTGCCGACTGTCCGTTCCACAGCGCAGCCGTCCAAAATACTGGGCTCTGCTTTTGCTGCAGGATAGAGTCGGGCGCAAGCAAATCCACACGCATGCAAGGTTGCCAATGTCTCGCTGAATCGAAACTATCCCGAAGACAGAACTCGATCCGATCTCCACACGATCTCACTTTTCGACTTGGTTATGCATTCCAGGTCCTCCAGCGCTGCAGTACAAATACACTTTGCATTACTGCCAGTGCTTTCGAAGATGCGTTTTGTCGGCACATGTGCTGCCCCAAAAGCATCTGAATCAAATATGTGCCGGTCTCCTCTAGCTCAGACTCGTCATCAGGCACGTTCTCCTGTGGCATTTCACACACAAGTCGAAGCGAACCGACTCGTCATGCTGCAAAAAAGACCATCGAATCAGTCTGCAGTCCACGAATGTCCGGCGCACCACGATCTTCTGTACGGGAAGTCCTTTTTGTGGAATTTGCGCGAACAGCATGCAAACTTTGCCATGCACTCAAGACTCCAGTCCTGGAGCGTGGTTGTCGCTGGAATGGCGAATTTTGGAAACGAATCGTGGCACAGCGTCCTCTGTCAAGCCTGCATGCGTCAGGCGAACGTTCCGAGGTGCAGCTTGCCGCTTGCTGGACACCAACAGCTGCCCACCACAATAGGATGCAGCTCCAGTGTGCTGACCAGAGGCTTGGGGCGTTCGACCCGCCGTTTGCACGACGGTAAGCTGCCTTCTGCAGGTGGAAGACCTGGAGCATGAGTGAGATTTTCAATTGCATAAGCAAGCGTTAACAACCGAGAGCCGATAGCTTACGTCTTCATCAATTCGCATTCAAAATTCGGCTCAGGCCTTTTGAAACCGGTCACGTACCTGATGCCAATCGCGGCGACTGATTGCGCACTGATAGTATACCTTGGAACAACGAGCTCCCAACTCTACTTCCCAAGAGCCGAAACAGACAGCCCCCGCGCATGTGCAGAGACAAACCTTAGGAACTTGCGTGCGCTGAGGACTTGAAGTTCGTCTGGAGTGATTAAAACTTAAAACGGAATCTTGAGTTGTGGAGTGTACCTGCCCAAGGAAAGTGACCAGCTCGAAACTACCAGTACGAAGAAGCCAGATGTGCATAGATGTGCAACTTTCTGCCGAAAGGCCAGTGGGCGGCCATCCATCTGGCTGTAGATCTTTACGTCTTCGTCCAGACTGGCCATGAAGTCTTGGAGGTACAAGGCCAAGTTAAACTGTTCGCCGGACGATCCTGTGATGGCAGCATTAAGAAAATCGAAGCAGTCCTGGAATCCACAAACTGGGCTGACGGAGCTGTGCTCCTGTGAAGCGTCGCCACTTCGGGAAGCCAATGGCTTCTCCGGCCTGGCAGGCATCTGCCACTGCCCGAGCAACAAGGCATGACCGCAAAGAACTCGTAGTGTTTTTATGCCCCCCCCCCCTCTGCAAGCTTCTGCCTGGATGCCGATCGACTCCGTGGAGTCCTTTCGTGCGTGAAATGCTCTGCTGCCAAACTGCAACACGAACCGACAGAAACCCCGCAGGCAGGGAAGGATCCTCGCCGGCCGGAAGTAGTGGGGGACCTCTTTTGGTGCATGAAATGGCGAGGACCTGAGGCATCACCAACACTTCGAGGGCCCAAGCGGTGGCATGCATTTCCAGGTTCGCGGATTTTAAGACAAGCTTGGGCTCAGATTGTCGTGATAATTACAGCACATGCTGGACTGGCCAAACAGTTCCATGAGAAACACTCGTTGGCTGGTCTCCACAATCCAGCTTAAATGCGGGGGTGGTGTCATCTTATATGTTTAGCCGTTCACCGCCCGGCTGCAACGTAGTGCTCCTCGTCCAGCTTGCGAAGCTCTGCAATACCCGGTCTGTTCAGTAACCATTGGATGCACCTCTCTGCCAAGTGGGCTAGCCGCACGATGTGCGGCAAAGCCCAACCTGCCCACTTCCACCTCTGTCGGTGCCAGCTTCGAGGGACGACAACCAAAGCACACACCCTGCAAAAGCAGCAACAGTATGGGCACGATTCAAGCCGAAGGTGCTGTGCATGAGGAAGAACAAACATAACTGTCACCGAGAATTCGGAAGAATCTGCTGTGGGACGGGTGATGAACACCCCCTCCGAAACTCCATCACATTCCATATGTGAGTTGTCCATTCGTCCTGAGTTCAGCTGCAGAGCTACCATGTCCGACTGTGTAGTGTAGCCAGACTTCGGGACCCTGTAACCCAGCAAAAAACTCAAGAGAACTCTCCTCCAACGTTCTGCAGAGCATCCAGCATACACAGAGTCCCCCTGTTCTGGAAAGTCTCGCTTCAGCTTGTGATGCCCCAGCGTCGGAGTATCCGTGCAGAAAAACCTATTCCTTGCCACATCCGAAGGTGCAACTTCAAGAATGAACCACTGGGCAGCGGACACTGAGAAAGTGAAAAGCTTGCTATTCTCGCACCAGGTACGCAGATGATCCAGCAAAGCTGCCGAAAAACAGGCAGCAAAGCTTCAGCAGTCCTCTTCAAACATGTGCTGTTTAATAGCTGTTTAAGGTCCATAATAGCTCCCCAGCCCTGCGCCCAAGCTGTTGTTCACCGGCTTGATCCGTAAGACGGTCGAGTTGAAAGCTCATCCGCGACTCGAAGCTGCAACACATGACGAGAAGCGTTACACATGATGATGATCCTTATGTGGTTACAGGCTGGTGATAATCTAGAGGAGTGAACTTAGCAGCACCAAAATTCTCGGCACGGCTCCAAACTGCTGGAAGCGCCAGAAAATGCCATCTCCGGGCGCGTTGGTTTCCACAAGGTCCATGCTGTGGCCGGGGACTGGCGAAATCCTAAGGTGAGTGGTGGCCTTTGATCGCAAGTATGGCTTCACATGCACCGGCACCTGAAATACCCGAAACGTCTGAGTAGTGAGTAGCAACTATGCTGCACTACATGGGCCATTACATGTACTGGCACCCTGGCATCGTGGCAACTACGCAGCGTAAGTGCGGACATGCAGCTCCTTCTGGTACTGCGCTCTGACTTCGGGCCGCACGAGCAGATGGCTGGGATTCTGCGGTGGGTCGCGGATCGCCACTCGTGTCAGGACAAGCCGCACCATCTGCCGATGCCCAGAACACTCCCGATGCGCCAACTTCACCTGTGAGCATGCCTATGCCGCCTATGCCCTGGGCTCTCTCGTTTTTGTGGGCTGTTCACACACGGGCTGCTTCCATGCATTGGAAGGAAATCGCGGACAGCCTGCTTTTGTCAGCGTTCCTCGTACTTGCATCAACTATCGCACCCTCACTCGGGTTCCTGACCCCTCACCCGGGCCTAAATCAGTTTCAACTACAGTCGTGCAGAACTCTCCATTTCGTACGTGGCCAGATCCGAGACCAGTTTTCCTCTCAGTCGTCGTCCCAAGGCTTGGACAGCACCGAAACCTTCAAACCAAGATCCTGCCCCCCCCGAAAGGTATCGCACATGCCGGGGGTCGCAACTTCTCGCCCAAGAGTCGCAGAAACAACAACCAAGATGACAAGACACTCTGCGATCGTTCAACAGGAGTGTCCAGTTCTCGTCTGACATGCATTGTGCGGCCAAGTCCATCCTCGGTTGGAATGAACAAGAAGTATATGATCATACACACGTTTGCATGGGTCTCCGTGTGGGTGTGTGTGTGTGTGCACAGTCACAGTCTATTAAACAATAAACAGACCAGCATGTGCACATCCAAATATGCAAGCACACAAACACATGCGTGAATGTATATGCGTATTTTTGGCACTCGCACTCGACCAGGTCAGGCGAGGTGTGCATGCATGCATATGCAAACATACAAGCGTACAACTATTGCAATATCTGAGCTTGTAAAAAAGTGTACGAATATATACGACAAAAAGACATGTATACACATGCATATACATATACACATGTTATACAGACACACATACATATTATATAGACACACACACACCTATGTAGTTGGACTGCGGCGCGTACCCGCGCGTGTAGTTTCAGCCGCTTTCGGAAGATTTTGGGGGTTCGGGGTT